GAAAAAACGTATCTTAAAATAAAGAGCATTGACGTATACTATACATCAAGAGTTAAAGAGACTACTAGCGTCGTTAAAACGACAAATAGGCCTAGGCCATATTTTTGCGTACGCACCACAACTTGAGCAAAAAAATAATTAACGTTACGTTTTTATGAAACGAAGATGAAAATCTTACGGATGAAAACCTTTGTATAGTAGAAAAGCCTAACACACAACTTGGCCACATCATTTTCGAACAAAACATTTTCAGGTAACGTTACGTACTCACCAACGTACTCAGGCGCCCGTAATATTCAAGCATTCCATCTCAACCCAAAAGCTGATTTTAACGGCAAATTACTTAAATAACTTTAACGTTTTTCTTCAGGAGTGAATTCAAGATAAGAATGGACAACTTTAAACAGATAATCGACTTCGATCCTAGCTGGTCTTCATGATGATACTCGTGCGTGCGCCTCGATCCTGACCGGCTGCTAGCGCGACCGTTGAGGTTTTGTATTTTTTTTTTTTTTTTTGCGGCGCGAAAGAAAATAGCGCCCCCGTTTTCTTTCATCAAAAACGGAAGTGAATTTAAAGTCAATTTACTTTGAGCAGATGTTGTTTTAAACTAAAAAAAGCTAGATTCCTAATGATATCAACCTCCAGAAATTCTTTTTTGATTAAAAAACAAGTATGATTGGATGAATTTCCTAATGATTTATGATATTAGTTTGACCCACTCTAAAACAGTCCACAAACATATCTAGATATCAAATTCAAAGAAAAGTCAAAAGCATAAAAGACGAATATTAAAAATATTAAAGGTTAAAAATAGCTTCAAGTTGACATTCCAATGCAAATTACCTCTGAAAATCACTCACTAATCAAATAATACTGTAATGGTCAAGCTTAAGCACTTAAGAGCTTGATCAACATATTTATAAAACCTACTAAAACCTTTAAAAGAAAAATCCTTACATTTCAACACATGCAAGCATATTAATTTAGTTGTACAAATCAAAGAGCTCAAATGGTATTTCATAACAGGAATGACCCCATTAACTCACGAAAAGGTTTAAACAGACTACAAAAGAGCCCTAGAGAGAGAGTTTATTCTAATCTCAAGTTTCAAGTCCTCTTTTAATGAAGAACAAGAGATGTACACAATGTTGCAATGACTATCGTTCACAGAATTTGCAGGAATTCAGTTTTTACTTGCAAAACAAGTGACTGAAAAGCATAAAAATAGTTCTCACATCATGACTTATCGACAACTGGATTGACTTCATAACAAACTGTTAGTTACTAAAACGACGCGAAAGTGTTCGTGTACACAAACATACACATCTAATCTACGTGTCCTGCTTTCGGTTAACTACATCAACTGAAATGCTACGCTTCTTCGAAGTACGTCATATACACATTTCATCACATGAAAGTTTCGTCTCAGGTTAGAGGAAGTTCAAATGGCAAAAATCTGCCTCTTTAGACAAAGTATAAAGGTGTTTGCTGGAATAACAACAAAGGCACAAGTGACTACAAAAAAAATCATTCACTGCTCGCAGTTGGTGTGCATCAGTAAGGTGCTCTTCCCTTCGGGTCAAGAACAGGAGTCGGCTTACACAGTTTTCAGTCGTGATTCTGGCTACAGAAAGACTAACAAAAGGTCTCCAGCTGGATCAGAAATCACCATGATTGATTTGTGTCATCAACTATGGAGCATATGAGGTCTATAGGAGCCAAAGAGTGGAAGAGTTCATACATAAAACACAGACCGTTCCAACAAGAAACTAATGAGAGCAGGAGGACATCTAATACCCCCCAATACCACAGCGGCCAATACAGGGTTAAAAACAGGCAAAGACCCAAATTAAATGCTTGTTTTGGCAACATGGATATGTCGTTGACACTGGTAAAAACGCCTGGCACAGATTTCGAGTGTTCAGCAGTTCGCGGTGCTTTCGGGCACAGCTCGTTCGTAGCGGGAGGCTAGCGGTTGTTCTTCATGGCGTCCTTGGCAGCCAAAATGAGAGGAGTGAGACTCGAGAGAGGTTTGGCCAGCTTCAGGAAGGGATGCTGAGGAGACAGAAGGATGTTCAATGGAGTCGGCTAAAATTTGGTTTAAAACTACCATTGACAAATAACTAGCCTAACTAGTATAAATTTAAATTTGAAATACATTTTCTACTATAAATCTCCAGCAATATTAAAAGGCAAGTAATTAAAAGACAACAAGTAAAAAAGAATAAAAAAAATTAGCAATTGCAAATTTGAAAGTGTTTTAATATTTTCAGTTATTTAGAAACTGTAATCAAATGTAAAATAACACTGCACTTTATAAGTAAAATATACAAATAAGTTATTCAGAGTTAATTTTTTTGTCTTTTGTTGTTTGCCCATAGCTACACACGCCAAACGTGTGCGAGCACAGAAAACGTCTCGCCGTTGAATTTTTTAAAGTCCGAATAAAAATTAAAATTCGATTCGTGACCTCAATTCAGGAATCAATTTTCGATCCCCAAACCTAATCGCTAGTTCTAGTTGCTGGCGGGTTTACCTGCAAAAGCTCTTTGCTTCCACCTCTCTTCTCCACGTCTATTTCCAGACAGCGACTGAGGAAGTCTCTGAAGATGGGCGATAACTTCTCAGGACTCTGCAACTCTGGAGTCCCATTGGTGGCAATCAGATAGAGCGCCTGAGGAAGAAAGATTATTAGCCAATTAGGCTTTTGTATTTTATAAATACAAATGGCTTATTAATATAAATGAGCGATTAGTCGACTAAATAGCTTAGAATCGAGGGCAGCCCTAGATTTTAGTGGCATTGTCTGCGTACTCAAAGCAACAATTCCGTTACCCTTTAATTTGCGCAAATTGAAAATACGCCCAAAAGGCAATTTCGCAAAAAACTCCCATATATCGCAAACAAGTTTTTACGCTCGCATGAGTATGTTTGGATACTTGGATACGACACAGTTTTTTTATTAAAATTTAATTAATGAATTAAATTAAATTTAATATTTTTTATATAAAAGACAGAAGTATTACATGAATGCTGGAATCTAAACCCCAAAGAAGCAGAAATATGAGCCGCTCTCAGTATAAAAGTCTTTCCTTGCCATTAATGCTTGGATAACACACACACATCTCCTTCCATTAATAATAATGTCCAGTGGCTGCGATATACCAACCCGATCTCACGACCAAATCGTACGAATTCGACGCATGATTAAAAAGTGTCTAATTCGTACGAGTGAGGTCGATTTTGCTAAATCGTACATATTTTACGAATTGGCCAATTCGTATGAATTCGTACGAATGACCTACCCCTTACCACGCCCCTAAACCTCCATCACGTGGGTTTAGACAAATCGTACAAATTCGTAAGAGTGAGGTCGTACGAATTAGACACTTTTTAATCATGCGTCGAATTCGTACGAATTGGTCGTGAGATAGCGTAGGTATACGTAAAGCTGTTGGTAGGTTTACGTATATCCTATGCTATCTCACGACCAATTCGTACGAATTTGACGCATGATTAAAGGAATGACTGATCGGCAGTCTGTTGATCAAATCATGGCATCTGTTGCCATGATTTGAGGAATGACTGATCGCGAGAGGAAAAAACAACGTTTTAGCCGCGTAACATCGGTTAATGGAAGCATCGGAAAAGTTTTGCGCAAATCTGCAATGGAAACGCGGCTAATGTCGCCAACATACCCTCAGTGGGTTCTCGTTGAGGTACGGCGGTTCTCCCTCCACCATCTCGATGGCCATGATGCCCAGGGACCAGATGTCGACTTTGGGTCCGTAGGCTTTGCGCGTCACCACCTCCGGAGCCATCCAATATGGCGTGCCCACCATAGTGCTCCTCTTACTCTGTTCAGGAGTGATCTGGGCACAAAAGCCAAAGTCCGCTGCGGAAGAGACAATAGAAAGTTTAGAGACAATACTAGACATGGTTTTTTCGTGAGCTAAATCCATTCAGTCCAATAGAAATCCTTGCAATCGGGAGTGTCATCAATTCCCCAAACGGAAAAAAGCTACTTGGTTTGAAAGTGACTTGTGCTTTATACATCTCTACGTTTTTGACAAAGCCTTTAGATGGAACATATCAGTATCAGTAGATGCCATATTTGAGGCCAATGACAACAAGTATGGGATGGATTGAAGAAGTTATCGGCTGCATTTATGAAACGTGAGAAAATTGCTCGTAAAACCTGAATTGCGTCAATTAAATGGGACAATTGACAAAAATGTTGTTTCATAACCAACTTAGAAGTTTGTTTTGCTCGTTTCATGACTGAGACCCTGTCTTCATTTGCATCTAATTAAATCCCATTTACCATCAAGCCAATCACAGATTTGATTAGTTTAGGGCTAGTTTGATTCACAATGAATGTCTAGGGTGAAGAAATGCGGAGATGATGAACATGATGCTAACCAGCGCGCACTAAACATTATCAGCGTACAACAAAATACTAACAACTAGGGCTGGGTAATAAATATCGATTTCTCGATATTAATCGATTCTCATTGTTACGAACCGATATCGATTCTTAAATCTCAAGAATCGATTAGTCATCCTGTTTCATTTGAATGAATGGGATATTGTATCGCGGCTGCGCGCATCCAAAAAAAGCGCAATAATCTTTGTCCTATGTTACTATTGATATGAAACAAAGTCTCGATTTTCAAATTACGTCCATTTTCTTTAGAAATTCAAAAACATAAATAGCGTTTTGTCGCTGTGGCGTGAGATCGCTCTGGAGAAGCAGCAGCGCCGATCTCTCTTCCGGCTTAATAATACCAGTCACAGCGCCAAATAAACATGAATGAGCATCTGAAAGAGTGTTAAAGATAGAGTACAACTTATCCAAATCCGGATCATGTCACATTGATTCGCTCAATCAGCGTTTCAACCGTGGAAAGACGTCAGTTAAACAGCTTGTAATCAATGTCATCGTTATATTTACCTCAGAAAACCCACATAAACTCGTTAGTCAGCTAGAAAAAATAACTCTAGAGAGGAGCATTTTGCTAAATATATACACCATATTACATATGCATTATAATCTTAATGTTCTTCAATATTTAATGCATATTTGAATAAATCTGGCAAGTTTTTGTGACAGCCACCATTTAAATGTTTATATTTCATATAATCTTCTTATTATAAAATAAATAAAAGTGTAATTTAAGTGTTTGTATAGCTACAAAACAGTTTATTATTACCTTCATATTAGGCTAATGAAGCCTATTGGCTACAACTAGACTCCCATAGTTGACAGCATTAGTTCAGAGATTTGATTCCCTTGAGAAAAATTGCCATTTATTATAACTGATATCCAAAATAATCGATATTGAATCGAAATCGAATCGAATTGCAAGCTTGTGAATCGAAATTGAATTGAATTGTGAAATTTGTCTGAATACCCAGCCCTGCTAACAACATCTCTTCAAAATTTTTGCATTTTAAGTGCTGTTGGGTACTTTTTTCACTTGAATATCTGTCATTACTCTGTTTGCACATCTATAGTTAACAGCCTTTTTTCTGTTTCTTTAGTCAGCTAGTTTTGGCTCACAAGAGACGTACTGTTCAGAGCGAGCTGCTAAACCAAACATGGGCACGTGTGACGGCACCTTTCAGTGAGTGTGCCTGACCACAATCGACATCTCTGTTCAGCGTTCGAACTGAACTTCATGCTTAAGGCAAAGTCGTGAAAACCAGAGTGCAGAACATACTGAGCTTGACAGAACCGTCCATTCCCAGAAGCACGTTGTCACTCTTGATGTCTCGATGAATGACCTGATTAGCGTGCAGAAACTCCAGAGCTTGCAAACACTGGGAGATATCAACACACAAGAGGAAGGTCATTAGTTAAGCGCCATCATCAGGGTTTCCCCATAAACTTGTAAATCTAGCGAGCGGCTTCAACGCACCTCTCGGCACACGGCGGCGATCTGAGCCTCGTCCATACACGTTTCTGTTACGACATCTGTGAGCGAGCCGCCGGCCAAGTACTCCATCACTACAAAAAGCTCCTCACCTACCAGAAAACTGCAGCACACACACATTTAACACTCTCATTAGCATTAGGGCTGTCACTCCTGTTCGATTCGAGAGATTAGTGTTCATTGAATCGATTGTAAAATCGATTTTCCTTGTCTAAAGACGCTAACATTTTCAATAGAGCCCGACCGATAAAGGATTTTGAAGGCCGATACCGATACAAATATTTTTGGGTTTTAAAATCCGATATATCGGTCGATATTTTTTTTTATTAAATATTGTTGGATTTCACACACACGTGTAATTGAAAAGCTAACTTTTCTGCACAAGATACGTTTGATACTTTTTCTCTGTGTCTAAATGTTCACTCCTCGCAAGTATAACTTTCATTTTACAATGCAGGGACTGTAATTAGAGATATGCGAGTTATAAATACAGTAATCATTACTTTATTTAGGCAGAAAAAGTTCATTGTTGTTTCCAAGCTCATTAATGTTAACGTTAGCGCTCTTCCACTGATGATAGTGGCGTTAGCTAGCTTTGTGGTTAGCTAGTCTATGATTAGCAATAGATAACGTCATACTGCAAATTGTAAAACATATATTTTCAATATAACAGGCCAAGGAGAGATGATTAAAGCGTGTTTCATCCGTTTTTATTTTATTTTTTAAATATTGATTTATCGGCCATTATAACTGCCGATACCGATATTATGGAAAATGCCTAATATCGGCCGATATATCGGTCTAGCTCTAATTTTCAACACCAAATACAGGCAAATCCACGGACACCTAACAGGACGAGCGTAAAGAGGCGCTTGAGACGCACAAGTCAGCGATATTTCTGAACGAAAAAAAAAATCAAATTAAATTTGGCGGGAAACGCTGTCAAAACACGATGTTTACTCACTTTGATGGGGAAGTTCCTGTACGACAAATTTGCGCGGATATAGCGCAAATACGCAACTTGTGATCCTCATGATATATTAAATACAGCGTATTGCTCATATCTGGCACACGTCACTACACAACTAATAACGACGCGCTTGTAAGTAATAGCAAACTTTTTCCCAGCATCCTACATGTTCTGTGTCCTGTATTATCTGTAAACGTAAAACACATCAAAAAATAAATAAATAAATAAAAAGGCAGTTAAAATCGATTCCCTATTTTCGTTTTTGAAACTTGTTGAGTTTTCAATTAATAACGTCAACTTTTTGAGGAGGACTGGAGGCCAGTTGAAGTTACTTGAAGAACGTTTACCTGTCTAAGAAGTTGACAATGTTTGGGTTTTTCAGCTCCTTCATCACGAGAATTTCATTGATGATGAGCTCTTTCTTGGGCTGCTTCTGCAGGTTGATCTGTTTGATGGCCACCTGAGAGACAGAAACGCATCGTAATGATGAGAATGTGGAAAAACTAAGAAAAGAAAACGCATTCCTCTCTCGTTTGCATTACCTCCTGTCCAGTGGCAACGTCGATGGCGGTGAACACAGTTCCTGAAGCTCTGTGGACAGAAACCATAATTAATCTCCATTCAATGAACATGTCGTGCAAAACTCTCCGCCCTACCCTTGTCCGATCTTCTCGTATCGTGTGTATTTCTTTTTTGGATCTCCAATACTGACGATGGTTCCTGTCGGAGAACAAACACGTGATTTGAGTCTCGAAAAAAAAAGAGAAACTGCACAAAGAACTACGCATGAAGTGACGTACTGAGCTTGTCCATGATCTCCTCGTCGGTCATCTTGCCCTTTTTGGGTCTTTGCCGGTCGGTGGCCTTGGACGCGACCTCGCTGTCTGGAGAGGTCACGGGGGGAGGGAGCGGGTCGATGACAGAGGGGCGAGTGTAAACCTGAAATCATAAACAGCATCTTAATGACACACTAATCAGTTATATTACTATAGATAGATATATAGATGGACAGGCAACACTAAAAGAGTTTTTTAATTTCTTACGCTCTTAGTGTGTTCTGGTCGAGGTGCGACAACAGGTGGCGGCGCCTCCTCATCGTCATCATCTTCATCATCATCCACCGCTTTGATTGGGGACGAAGGCTCTGGTGTTTTCTTGACAGGCTGCAGGTTTTAGGGAAGGAAAGCAGTGTAATTATATTCGGAAAAGACCAGGCTTAGTCAAAAAACCTGTAAAAGAATTTTTGTAGCTTAAAATAAAATAAACATTATCTTAAAAGAAATGAAAGTTGAAAAGTTAAATTAAGTTTGTTTCTTTAGGGTTTTTATTGTTAAACTAAATCGTTAAAAAAAAAAAATCTTGTCGCTGTTAACTGAAATAAAATAAAGTATGAAAAATTTCATTTACTTTATTTCAGCTAGTTGCTAACATATTTTATTGTTTAGTTTAATTCGATGTATTAAAATAAATAAAAATGAAAAAGAACAAGAAACAATTTTTTAAATATAAAAATTACTATACATTACTTGAAATAAAATAACGTGCATATAAAATAAGTTTAAGTGTATATTATTTATGTATATCTAAGTTAAAATAAAAAAACCCATAAAACTGTTAAATAAAATAAATATAAAAACTTACTTTATATCAGCTAGTTGCCAACATGTTTCATTACTTCGTTTAACGTGATGTACTAAAATAACTAAAACTGAAATAAAAATCAATGAAAACTGTATTAAATGTATTAAAAACAAAAACTTTTGTGACAAAACAACATACTTTAACACAAATTACAATTAAAACAGAAAATATCAAAATAAAGACCCATTCAAAATATTAATAAAAACTATAAGATACTTAAATACCACTAGTTTACATTTCAGCCAAGGCAACGTTTCACTTTATTTAGTTTAACTTGATGTGCTAAAAAGAACGGTTGATAAAAAAATGAAATACAACTAAAAACTAATAAAAAAAAAATACAAAGACAAAGTTACTAAACCTGAGAATCCAAAACTAAAAACTTATATGTGACCCTGGATCACAAAACCAGTCAGGAGTCGCACTGGTATATCTGTGGCAATAGCCAACAATACGTTGCATGGGTCAAAAATATCGATTTTTCTTTTATTCCAAAAATCAATAGAAAATTAAGATATTTTGATAATTTCTTAACATAAATATATTAAAAATGTATTTTTGTGAGAGGATGCAGCACAATCTTGAACATAAATGCACAACTTTAAAGGGGATTTTCTCAATGTTTACATTTTTTTGCACCCTCAGATTCCAGATGTTCAATAGTTGGATCTCGACCAAATACTGTCCTATCCTAACAAACCATCAACGGAAAGCTAATTTATTCAGCTTTCAGAGCTGAGCAAAAAAATTATATAAAAACAAACAATAAAACTTGTGAAACAACTATTACAGCATCTGAATGAGTGTAAAATAACATACCGATTGTTCACCAGAGGGAAATCCGTCCTTCTCTACACATAAACAAGAAAAGCGGTCAGTACGACATGACGTGACACTGGACTAATATCAGCACAAGCGCCGGCGCGCCGCAGACCTGAGGAGAAGCTGAGGTACTTCTGCCGGCCGTTGCCCGTGGAGTCGTAGAACTTCAGGACGTCCAGAACGGCTTGCGGGTTCTTCTTCTGCTCGGATTTGGTGATGTTGGAGGTCTGCAGTAATATGGCCCACTGCTCCGGCATTCCCTGCGGGACACGGAGAAAACACACTTACACCTCAATATCAGACGTTAGTTTTTCTGCCAATTCAAATGGCGCATTTGGTTTAGGTTATGCATCGTTTCTACTGTACATTAAAATCTTATGATTACGATATTTGGCCAAAAAGGTTCAAAATTCTCTGTTAAAGGGTTAGTTCAAAAACTCAAAAAATGAAAACTGTCAGTAATTACTCGCCCTCACATTGTTCAACACCCGTAGGGACTTTCGTTTATCTTCAGAACCAAATTAAGATACTTTTTATGTCCCAAAGATGAACGAAAGTCTGGAACAACATGAGTAATGAGTAATTACTGGCAGAATATTCATTTTGGGGTGAACTATCCCTTTAAGAAATTGTTGTACATTTTCTGAGAAAATATTGGGCGAAAAGTCTCCTAGATTTGGGTCACGGCCGGTTCGTAAAGTGCGACAAAGGAGAAAGAAGGAAAAAAAAAAAAAAAAAAAAATGGGGGCTCGTCCGGGATCTTTCCCAACAATTAACATTGACACGAAGTTTGTGGGATCATATCTTTGTAAGACAATGTCATAGAGACTTGTGGGTGAGCTCATTTGACTCACCCAGCAAGCAGCCAATAAGCAGTGATGTAACATCGACATAGCCACGCCCTAGCAACCAGTTACAGCACCCTAGCAACCACCCATTAGACGACTTCCATTGAAAAAAGGTGAGAGGGATATCTCTGCATCAGAACCTCTTTTGACTCAGACTGGAAAGTAGTGTTTAAATATCCAGATACACGCCCAGACTATTAGGAAACAATCTAGCCACACCCTAGCAACCATTTACAACACCGTAGCAACCGTAGAGCAACATGAATAAGCCATACTTCAGCACCAGAGTGACAGGGATTGAATAGGTCTATACAAATGTTGATAGTTACGTATTTTCTCTGGCTCTTGTTTTAAATGATTTCGTACAAGACGAAATTTGTATTTGCCCCGCCCCTCCTCCACTGTTAGGACAGCTGGGTAAAAAATGACAGTGATGCGACAGAAACGTTTACAATAACAACTATTTCGAATTGATAGAAATAACACATTACAACTACATAAAACCTTTCCGTTTAATGTTTGACAGGAATTTTAATAAAAGCTATGTTTTTAAATTGGGTACATTATTTGAAATTTTTTACTAAGCTAAAATAAATAAAAAACATACAACTAAGCATCTTACAACATTACAATAACAACTTCATAAAATCTTTCAAATTCATGTTACAAAATCCAATCAATCCTAAGAATTTCCACATTGAAACCTTTTTTAAAAACATTGATTATCGAAATTTCTTATCAAAACTGTTATCCAGTAAAAAAATAATGCAGGAATAATATATAATCAATATATATATATATAAACAATTAAATATGAATTAATATAACTCATTATTTAGGCTATATTTGCTGATAGAATACGTATACTGACCGTAAACTCGCCAGTAACCGCGTCGAATCCCACGTGGATGGTGTGCTCGAAGTCTGAGGGCGGCGAGATCTCCGGCCGCTCTTTATTGTCTTTCCTTCGGCCACCTGGAAAGCCACACACACACACACACACACACACACCACGTGAGCATCAGAACTCAGAGATTCACTCTGACCCAGAAAACATGACACGTCTCTGAGATGTGCTGCTAATGCGAGCAAAGCGTGACTCGAGGTGATGCATCTCCAGAGACCACGAGACGTACAGCAGACACGAAAGCCAAAGTGTGTTTCACGGCTCGCCGTCGGTCTGTGGGTTTGATGAGCCCTGAGATTATGACGACGGGGGTAAAAAGCACTTAGAAATGTCTTAAGGCAGCTGTGTAAAACTTATTTTCAACATCCACATTTTATCGAGTAATTTAGGTGCATTGTCACGATTCTCGATCATATTTGTTGTGACAATTGCATTTTTAAAAGTTTACAAATGAACTAGGTAGCCTCTGAAATTAAAACCAGTTCCTAAAAACTGCACGTATTATATCATGACAAACAATAATGCTAATTATTATTAAATGCGCGTCAGGTCCCAACCTGCAGCTGTATGACATTAATGTTATTAACACCGCTATCGAATCACAGTGCACATTTCAAAGTCCCTGTCACCCCCCCTTTTTTGAATAGACATGAAAATGCACATTTCGAACTTAAATGGTTGTAATTCAAGAATGCTTTGGAATATAGATAGACATATGATTGGTCTTGTTTTAAAGAAGACATTTGGCAGATTTTTGTAGAAGTGAAATAAATTAAGAAAGTGAAACAGATAAAAAGTTATAGAAGTTTGAGTTTATGGAAATGTACAATGTAAAAATATTAATTATTCATATTTTACATAAAATATATATTTTCAAAACCTGGGCTACTCTAAAACGGCAGAAAGATCAAAGCCAAAAATCTGAACAAGTTGTGTTTCAAATTTTAGGTTGATATCTCAAAAAATGAGCTTTCAGTAAGATTTTGTTTGAGCGCAGTACCAAACTTTTTCACTAGGGCACAACCAGACTCCATTACTGCCCATATAAGGGCGTCTGCATTTCCATTCGTGTTTTGAGTGATATGAACCATTATTTTCACAATTTTCATACAATTTCTGAAGTAGAGATCCTATTCAGAAGTAGCATGGGAAGTTTGGCAGATTTTGAAATGAATTGAACCTCTAAGAAACACATACAAAGAACACGCATGTAAGTCATAGCTAGCTGCCACGTCACAAATGGTGAATTTATTATTTTTTTTCTTGATATTACAAACTTTTCAGACCTTTTTTTCCAAAATAATTGAATGGATTCTATCTTTTGAACTTTTGGCATGAAAAAAAACTGAGGTATCTACCATTTTTTCATGATTTTTCATGTTTACTGCTATTTTACAATAAAGGTCTGAACACGCCTTATGAGTATGAAAATATTCTTGTTGCATATTGATAAATTATGGCTCCTCTGTAATATATTTTAAAAAAAACAGTCACCAAATATGGAAACTAGAGATTGTAAGCTTTCAAATGATATATAGTTTGTCAATATTATTTAAGGTACTTACTAAGATATTATTGTTTTAAAAATATAGTGGCAAACGTCCCACCTGTGGGACAGTGACAGTTAAGTGGTTTTAATGTTGCGATCATATCTACGTGCTTTACAAATGCATTGAGACTTAAAAAGGTATTAGGTAATAGAACAGGAAGGTTGATCCTCGTGTGATTGATTATTGATAGTACAATTGTTCGTGGCATTCAATCGTTCATCATACATCATTCCCTTACGGGTAATTTTATCATTTGTTTGATTCCCGATCACGTTTCATGATTGGTTATTAAAATTATATTCCCTGTATCTGAGCTTATCCCGAGATTCCCTACACATGAAATCCAAATTTTATAAATATAAGCTGTGATGTAGTTCATCAGATTATTTATTTATTTATTTTTTAGCTAGTAGTAGTTCTGAATGGTCGGTAACCCACAAAATCTAGCGGCCAAACTGTCCGGTGAGTGGAAAAGTACGTTTTGATACGCACCCTTCTCGGCTCCGGAGAAGATGGAGATGATCTTGTTGCGCTTGCGCTCCTCCGGCACCGAGGGAAGAGGCTTGGAGCTGTGATTGGCTGCGAGCGCGTGATCCTTCCCGCCGCCGCTGAAGATCGTGCTACTCATCCTCACGGGCGGAGCGGGCGGCTTGTCCTCCAGATCCCCATTATCACACATGGTCCAGGACGAGAGGAGGAGAAGAGCAAAGAAAGGAAGAGTGGGAACGTTTGCAGGTGGAGATAAAGAAAAGGAGGAGTTAGAGCTGGAAGAGCAGAGGGAAGCACAACGGAGAGATGAGCGACGCACACGCAACACACACTCAACAACAGCACACAAACACAGTCTGCGCGGCGGCCGGTCTACACTAGCACGGAAATAATACATAAAGGAATTAGAAATTAAAAATATATATGTTTTGCATTAGAAAAAAAAATTCTGCTTGATTTTAGCACCAGACGACTCGCTTTATACTTCGAATACTATCATGAAAATAATAATATCACAATAAAATAATATTTAATTACTATATAAAATAATAATGCATTTATATTAATGGATTTCTGATTATTCATCAGATCCACTTTATAATAATAAAAATAATAAAATTATCATAAAATTAACTATATTTTATTACTATTTAAAATAATAACAAATTTTGCATAAAATTATTCAGACGATTTTTAGGACCATGAGAATCATTTTTTTTGCTTGATACTTATTAAAAACAATTGTTGTCCTTAAAATTAATAAATCTAATTAGCATTGTTTAATGTTAATAATTAGTACTAATAAATAATAATAAAATGCAAACCATCTAATTTATGCAAAATATAATTTATTGTTTCTTTAACCAGTTTGCTTAATTATAATAATATATATATATATATATATATATATATTGGATAATTTCTGATTATTTCAAGGACCATCTGAACCATTTTAAGCATATTATTTATTATGAAAATAATGCCAAAATAAATAAATAATTGTCCTTAAACTTAACAATAATCATTACTATTTAATAATAAAATTATACTAATTAACTACGGGGAAAATAAAACAAATGAATTAATATTTTGCATATAAAGATGATTTTAAGACCATCAGAACTATTTAATGCTTGATATTCATAAACAAAGGTGAGAAAAAATGAATAATTCTCGTCCTTAAAATAAACAATAATGACAAATTAAGTACTTAGTACAAATAAATCAAAATAACAATGTAAAACTTAAAACCAACTTTTATATATATACATATACATATATACACATACATATATATAGATAGTCAGAATAAATTCATTCTTACTCTTTATAAACTGTCTAAAATAATAATTAAACAACAACAACAATAATAAAGACATTAATTTTCAAAAATACACTATTTAAGTAAAATCTAATGACATGAAGCCTGCCCAAAACTCAAGTCTTCAACTCATTACATGCTTTATTCATTAGCACGATTTAATAATCACATTTAAAGACACATAACTCTTCTTTTTTTGTCTTTATTATTTGTTGTCAGGATTTTCCCAATAAAGCTGAAGCACAACACACAGGCAGAGAGAAACCTGATACAGAAGCAGCAACTGCATATAAACACACACACACACACAGACATATGCAGAATATCATAACAGACTTCTCAATCCCTACTGAGCGTCCAACTACTTAGACAGCACTGAAGAACATCACTAACACGCTCATATTGAGGCTCAAACAAGCGGTCTAGGTAGGTAGCACACTAGGATTGGGAACGCGGCCAGAGAATCTCGGGTTTTGTCGCGACTCACCTGTGAAACTGAAGTCAAACTTCACTTTAAACCGCTCGAACGGGGTCAACAGGAGCGGATTTGTCCGCGTAGAGGCCCGATGTGACGCCAAAACCCCGTCCGATGCTTTCTAGGCTGTTTTCTGCTGTCCACGGGCTTATTTTCTGTAGTTTTTTGTGTTGGTTTGGGGAAGGGGAGGCGCCCAGCAGCGTCTCTTTCTGCCCTCGCCTGCAGCACACAGCCAGAGACTGTTTCCGGTGCGAGTGCATTGTGGGGGAACGACCGACAAAATAAGAGTCTGGTGACTAAAAATCAAATCTTACTTTTTAATAGCACGTATTATGCTGTTAACAATTATGTGTATTATAATAATTGATATATCCGATCAAAAAATGCAATGCATTTAATACATTAATACGTTCATTTAAAGGATTATACATTTTTATATTTCACATAATCAAAGTCCCCCTGTAGTCAATAATTGTAGGCTTTAAAACTAATCTTTGATAACCAAAGTTATATATTTAAGCGTTGGTTTTCCTTGAAAAAAAAAAAAAAAGCTAAAACAGCTTGAGTGTAACTCGACACCCTTGCCTCATTAGTATGCGCGGTTCAATGAATATGCAGATGAGCCCCGCCTCAACTCACTCACTCAGCTCAGAGATCCATTAGTTGACGATCACACGTTGATCTGATTGGTTACAAGGTCGTTTGTGACGTCAGAAACACCAGCGATTTTTTTGAGATTGCAGTTCACTGCAGTTTTAAGGAGGAAATACTCCGCAATGCTGTCGACTTATGAACTTACACATGGTGTGTGTTAAAGCGTATTAAAAATACAATATAGACACATAAACAACATTAAACGCTGGATTTTCACCACAGGGGGACTAATATATATATATATATATGAGTCGCTTTGGATAAATGCTTCTGCTAAGTAATTACATGTAAATGTATATTATCAATGTACTAATATATATTAAACATATATACTTATAGATCTATTCTCAAATTATTAATGTAATAACAGACCAAATTTAGTAATAAAAGTAATATTCAGTTTTATTCACAAAAGCAATAACACGTTTTGCAGAAACAAAACAATAATCCACACTGACGACATTAACATTCCCCTGAGATATCTCACAGTTCATCAACGGGACAGAAATATCTCACAGACATCATCAGCGGGTCACGTGACGACCCGAGTCTCGTCTGCAGGGGTCAAAGGTCACGGGTTAAAAGGTGCCGTGTCTCCAGATGGAGCGGAGCAGGAACACACAGCTGAGCGCCGCGGTCAGGAGCGTCCCGACACACACACTGAGCATCATGGAGGAATCTCCCACTGGGATCTCCAGACTCACCGACCCAGTGTCCTGACGGAGACAATAATATTACTATAATATCACATAATCAGCCTGTGCACTTCAACAGTCAACATTAATAATAATATCACATTACAGTCAAATATTATTATTTCTACATAATATTGCATTATATTAAAAATATCATAATATTGTAAATATTACATTAAATATAATATATTATTTACTATTATTGTCATTAAATTGTTTTATAATATTATAAATATTACGATTTGAGATTATTATTTTTACATTATACATTTCATATTAAAATATTACTATTTGCTATTATTATAGTTATAAACGTTCCATGATGTGTGTGGTAAATTATGTGTAGGTGTTATGACACATAGGGAGACAGTAAAGGCTAATCAATCAATCAATCAATCAATCAATCCACACTGGCGTGTGACGTGCGAGCGGGACCTGCAGACGCCGGATCTCCAGCCAGGAGCAGACGCTGTGGTTGCTGACGTCACACGGCGCTTCAGTCGCCTCATGGTGAGGAGAAACAGCTCTCGGCGTCTCGCCTGTAACGGAGAAACACATGAGCTAGCGTTCTCCATCTCACAGTGTGGATCTGCACCTCTCCAGCTGACGTACACTTGTCTGAGCGGACGAGCAGCCGCGGCGACTCCAGCTCCACCGTCACCCGCTCCACGCCGGAGTCCGCGGGCCTGTGATACCGGCCGTGAACGGGGACCGTCGCCTCGTGCTTTCCCGAGAGGAAAACCAGTGCGGTGAAACCAGTCGACAAATATTCAGGAGCTTCCAGATCGACCTTAGAATCCAGACGAACCTACAAAACATGTTCAGGCATGTGTGTGGGCAATAACACATCCACACGCGTAATATAATACTATTGTTTATTGAGAGTTTTTTTTAATTCTTTGTACAAACAAAGAAGGACACAAATAAAAGTTTTGAGGGAAAAAAAAACAAAAAGGTACAATATTTTTCCTTTGATATGCAAAAGACGTATATTTCAAATGATTTTAAAGCCTTATTTAAGAGATAGTCCCAAAGAAATGCTGTACTTCAGCAAGCAAAGCATATAAAGTGGCTTCTGACCTGAAAAATGTACTTAAATAGGGATGGGCAACGATTAATCGTGATTAATCGCATCCAAAATAAAAGTTTGTGTTTACGTAATATATGTGTGTATAATTATTTTGTATATATTATAAATACACACACATGCATGTATATATTTAAGAAATATTGGCATGTGTATACTTTGTATATAGGCCTATTTATACATAATTAATATTATATATAAATATTTGATATATTAGGAACACATTTTTCTGAAATATATACATGCATGTGTTAGTATTTATATACAAAATAATTATACACACATATATATCATGTAATGTAAACACAAACTTTTATTTTGGTTACGATTAATCGTTGCCCATCCCTAGTATAATTTCAACACTATTGAAAACGCGCTCACCTCCAAACCCGTGTCGTGTCTCAGGGTTTCCAGCTGGTATTCGTCCATGTAAACTCCACTGGGAAGCTTCTGGACCAGTAAAGCTTTCACATCATGATCCACTTCTCCCCATTCAACAGTGTAGAGGAGATCTCTATAACACCACAACAACAGAATCATGAACATGAACGAATAAAGAAACTAACAAATCTAAAAGGTGAGGGGAGACCTGTGAAATCCCGCTTTGGTAATCTTCATAGACATCGACAATGACTCGAGGAATTCAGGAGGAAAACAATGATCTGCTGAATGAGGAAAATGCAGAAATGTAGTTTATTGGTGGTTTTTCCCATATTGAGCATGTTTTGGATTAAAAATACCTTCTTGCGAGTTTCCATTGTGGATTAAATATAACACAGTTGCTAATAAATAAAAAATGATGCATGTTCGATCAGCGCTCATGCTTTAATTCCGATTTGTAGGTGCATTTACTTCCGGGTTTAATGACACCCGTCCGAAAGGTGGCGCTAATGAGCGTCTCGTGCGAGAAACCAGAAACTCCCTCGTCAGAAGAAAAGGATACAGGGGCGACGGGGAAACATGGAAACGGCAATCAAATAACCACAACAAGAGTATGGTTTTGCCTTGTTTTATTTACAAGCGCGCGTATTGCGTATTAAATGTGAGCCTGTGCCTTTAAGATAAAAACCGTCTCGATAGAATCAGCGTGAATCAAGCGATGAATAATCCGAAAGTCTTTGTGCAACACATCTCACTGTTACTATGGTTACTAATACTAATAGATAGATAGATTTAGCACTGCATAACTATTAATTTAATTTATTGATTTAATAGTAAATAAAACATCAATCATTTAAAAACATCTTTCAAATAAAAATAAACATAATATTTGCTATCATATTTTTTTTTAAATATGTGAACCGAAGTAATATTTTATTATTATTAACTATTTATGGAGAAATATAACTATTGTTTGACTCTTAATGGACAATGTTTGTGATTTGATTGTGCAGCTGGACATGCAAGCGTGAGTGAAAATGTCCATAGTAGCAAAGCAATGTGGAGTGAAATTTATTCCACCTTCAATCATCCTCATATATGAGAACAAGAACACCAGCAAGATGCGGAAAAGAATCATACCTGTGAGGAACTTCTCTCAGTATTCAGGTAAGTCTGTTTGAAATATGACATAAACTTGTTCTTGATGAGTTTTGTGCGATTCACCCACATATATTTCTCTTAAAACAAGAACAAAAGTGGTCCTCAACTATAACCCTGAGGGACCAAAGAAATGAAGTTGAAAATGTTACTGTGCACTTTTATGATGGGTAGATGAACTTTTATGATGGACAGATGCACTTTTATAATGGATAGATGCACTTTTATGATGGGTAGATGAACTTTTATGGACAGATGCACTTTTATGATGGATAGATGCACTTTTATGATGGACAGATGCACTTTTTTGATGGACAGATGCACTTTTATGATGGACAGATGCACTTTTATGATGGACAGATGCACTTTTATGATGGATAGATGCACTTTTATGATGGACAGATGCACTTTTATGATGGATAGATGCACTTTTATGATGGATAGATGCACTTTTATTATGTAGAGATGCACTTTTATGATGGATAGATGCACTTTTATCATGGATATATGCACTTTTATGATGGATCTATGCATTTTTATGATGGACAGATGCACTTTTATGATGGATAGATGCACTTTTATGATGGACAGATGCACTTTTATGATGGATATATGCACTTTTATGATGGAAAGATGCACTTTTATGATGGGTAGATGCACTTTTATCATGGATAGATACACTTTTATGATGGACAGATGCACTTTTATGATGGGTAGATGCACTTTTATCATGGATATATGCACTTTTATGATGGATAGATGCACTTTTATGATGGATAGATGCACTTTTATGATGGGTAGATGCACTTTTATCATGGATAGATACACTTTTATGATGGACAGATGCACTTTTATGATGGGTAGATGAACTTTTATGATGGATAGATGAACTTTTATGATGGGTAGATGCACTTTTATGATGTACAGATGCACTTTTATGATGGGTAGATGAACTTTTATGATGGATAGATGCACTTTTATGATGGACAGATGCACTTTTATGATGGACAGATGCACTTTTATGATGGACAGATGCACTTTTATGATGGGTAGGTGCACTTTTATGATGGATGCACTTTTATGGACAGAAACAGCCATTCACTGCCATTATAAAGCTTGGAAGTGCCAGGACATTTTTTAATATAACTCTGTGTTCGCTAAAGACGAATGTCATATCCACATAGGATGGCTTCAGGGAGAGTAAATGGGCTCATTTTTGGGTGAACTATCCCTTAAATGTACTGTAAAATGTTGTTTCCTTCTCTCCAGACTGCAGCCGAGCAGCAGAGCGGATGAAGCATCACGTCCGTCACAGCGTCTATCTGGAGTCCGTGTCTTTGGTCCAGCTCGAGAGACTTCACCTCATCCTCCGGGATCATCTGCGGGGCCTCAGCCTGGACCAGAGTCTCGCCGCCCAACGCGGGCCCGACCCCGACGACGAGGACCTGAACAAACTGAGCGATGAAGAGCTCGACCGCAGGAAGGCCCAGATGGACGAGCTGTTCGAGCGCAACCGCAGACGCAAAGAGGATCCGGAGTTCGTGTACGACCTGGAAGTGGAGTTCCCCGAGACCAGCGTGCGAGAGACGTGTAGCTGGGACGGGGAGGCGTCCGATGATGAGTTCTAGAACATCGGGGACCCTTTAGAGGAAGTGATTCAGACATGGTGCATTATGGGGGTTGATGAACATGCTGTTTGGTCTATCCATTTCCCATGGTGCAAATCGTTTAAAGGCCACTTTAAACAGTTTTACTCTTTTGGGTTTTTAAATAAATTTTTAAAAATTTTAATAAACAAAAAATGGAGCACATATAAAGTCTTAACCTCAATGTTTTTTTTTAAATATGATCTATTATCCGCTTACAAAAAAATATTACCTCAACTAAATAAATAGTATAAAATCAAGTGTTGTGTGTAACTCATTACAAGTAACTTGAGTTAAGTAATCAGATTACTTTATCAAGTACCTAATAAAGTAACGCATTACTTTTAAAATTTATTACAAAATATCAGTTACTTTTTTTAACGCAAGTTACTTTGTTTTCGCATTTATTGACAGACAGCTCTCCTGTCCAGAGATGTGTGTATGAGAACATGATAGTTCTAGAATAAATAAGTGTGCATTTACTCTTCTCATCCAACAACTAATAAATATGTTTTATGCATTTAATCTCACTTTGCTTCTGACCTTCGATGATTCAGTTAAACCATGAGCAAAAATGACTATAGATTTTAGTAACGCAATTAGTAACATTTTAAGGGAGTAACGCAATATTGTAATGCATTAGTTTTTTTAAAGTAACTTTCCCCAACACTTATAATGACACTAAAACATCGCAATAATTGACATAAATTTTAAACGACAAGACGAATTTTAATGGTAAATATTTATTTGTTTTTACGAAAAGCTGTACGGAACATATATCCAGGGATAGTTAAACATGAAAAAATAAAACGCTACTTGATTGTCACACTTTCAACCCTGTGGATCCTCTACCCACTACTGATGACACCATATAAAGACGTACAGGTGCGTGTGTTCAATAAGGTAGTCTCACGTCAATATGAAAGTAATATTTCATGTTTTATATTTGGATCACATATAGAATCGTAAAATAACACAAGAGCAGCGTTAACACCGCGTAATTTCACTTTGGTAGATCCTCTTGACATTTTGTTTGCGCATTAAAAACGGCTTTGAATCGCGAAGCCACAAGTGCCGAGTCCCGTCGATTAAAAAGTGCATCAAAGCGGCTGGAGAAAAGACGGCAGACACTGCCAAAATCACGCGATTAAAACATTCAACAACGAGACGTCGCACGTGTACTGATGCTTTGAAATGTAGTTAATCGCTTTGAGTTCGGCAAGATTCTGGGAAATAAAGCGGAACTGATTGTCCAACTCGAGCGCGAAAGCCTCGGATGACGGCAGGTATACCTCGAGATTTTGGGTTATTATCTGCAGTTGCACGATTAAGAACAATTAAAAATGGAAGCTTGTCCCCATTAAAGAAAGAAAAAGATAATTGTGACTTTTTATCCCACATTTCTGAGTTCATAAAATTTAATTGCGAGTTTGTATCACACAATTACAAGAAAAAAAAGTAAAAAAAATGTGAGATAAAAAGTCGCACTTACCTTTTTTTTGTTGTTTTCTTATTCTGTAACGAAGACAAGCTTCCATTTTGAATTGTTCCTCCTAATTGTGCAAAAGTTTATAACTCGCAATTCTGAGAAAAGAAGTCAGAATTGTAAGATTTAAAGTCACAATCGCAAGAAAAAGTCAGAATTGCAAGAAAAAAAGTTAGAATTGCGAGTTCGCAATTCTGACTTTATTTCTTACTATTTCGAGTTTATATCTCACTATTTAGTCTTTTTCTCGTAATTGCGAGTTTATATCTCACTATTTTAACTTTTCTTGTAATTGCGAGTTTATATGTCACAATTACCCTTTTTCTCGTAATTGCGAGTTTATATGTCACAGTTTGGACTACTTCTCGTAATTGCGAGTTTATATCTCACTATTTAAACTTTTCTTGTAATTGCGAGTTTACATCTCACAATTTACACTTTTCTCGTAATTGCGAGTTTGTCACAATTTAGTCTTTTCTCGTAATTGCGAGTTTATATCTCACCATTTAGTCTTCTTCTCATAATTGCGAGTTTACATCTCACAATTTACACTTTTCTCATAATTGCGAGTTTATATTTCACAATTTAAACTTTTCTTGTAATTGCGAGTTTGTATGTCAGTTACCCTTTTCTCGTAATTGCGAGTTTGTCACAATTTAGACTCTTTCTCGTAATTGCGAGTGTACATCTCACAATTTAAATTTTTCTTGTAATTGCGAGTTTATATGTCACAATTACCCTTTTTCTCGTAATTGCGAGTTTATATGTCACAGTTTGGACTACTTCTCGTAATTGCGAGTTTATATCTCACTATTTAAACTTTTCTTGTAATTGCGAGTTTACATCTCACAATTACCACTTTTCTCGTAATTGCGAGTTTGTCACAATTCAGACTTTTTCTCGTAATTGCGAGTTTGTCACAATTTAGTCTTTTCTCGTAATTGCGAGTTTATATCTCACTATTTAGGCTTCTTCTCATAATTGCGAGTTTACATCTCACAATTTACACTTTTCTCATAATTGCGAGTTTATATTTCACAATTTAAACTTTTCTTGTAATTGCGAGTTTATATGTCAGTTACCCTTTTCTCGTAATTGCGAGTTTGTCACAATTTAGACTCTTTCTCGTAATTGCGAGTGTACATCTCACAATTTAAATTTTTCTTGTAATTGCGAGTTTATGTCACAATTACCCTTTTTCTCGTAATTGCGAGTTTACATCTCACAATTTACACTTTTCTCGTAATTGCGAGTTTATATCTCACTATTTAGTCTTTTCTCATAATTGCAAGTTTACATCTCACAATTTACACTTTTCTCGTAATTGCGAGTTTACATCTCACAATGTAGAGTTTTTCTCGTAATTGCGACATTCTGATATTATATCTCGCAATTATCTTTTAAATGGTTTTATTCCGAAGCGGAAACAAGCTTCTATAACTAAACACGTTAATAGCACTCCAAATTTCCGCTTCTCTCTAACAACAGAGAGAGTTTCAAAGCGAATCGGTAGTTGCAGGAAAAAGTAGTCGCATTGGCCTTTAAGTGCAAGAGCGGGAAATACAATCGAACGTTGGCTGCCAAATTCAAGCGTCTTAAAAGAAAATCGTGCCGAACGACTTAAACATTTCATGAGCAAAGCACAAGAGCGATAATTTGGATGCTTGAAGCGTCATAAAAATAATCAGTAAGTAAAGAGAGGAAAATATATATAGCCTATATCATATATAATATATCCAAAATTGCCTAAAAAGACAATTTGACAACACAGAATGAAACTCAAACAAATGGAAACATTTCAAGTACTTTGAAAAATAAAGGCTTTGTTTTCTCCTGACCCTCATATATTTCATCATGGCCATATAAAGGAGTATATATTATCCTATTTTACCACTTAAACAAAATACATACATATGCATATGTATATTCATATAGAAACGTAATCTCAACATCTCATTTTTTCTTTCGATCCTGGGTGCATCGTGGACAGAACCTGGAAGAAAGAGAAGAAAAGCTGTTTGTTGATCTTCAAAAACAAAGATATGGACGGTTCCTCGTTGAGCGACTCTGAACAGATCGACGTACCATTTCCCTTTGGGTTTCGTTGTCAGATCAACACAGGCGAAGTGAAACCACTCGATGGGACACTGTTAAGAGAAGCAGTTTTGTTTGTTTGTTAAAGAAACACACGAGGAAAGGCTAAAAAACAGTTTCAAGAGAATGGACAGGACATCCGCTCGTACATCCATGTTGTCGCATCCGATCATTTCTCCATATGACACCTGGTGACAGAGGCAGTACGTGGGCTCGTTGGGATCCACAGGCATGTCTAAGACGTCTGATGGGTGAACTGGCAAGACGGATTCAGAGAACTCGGGGCTGCGGAAAACAACGTGGAAATAGTTACGAGTCCAACAAAAATTATAATATTGCATTCAAATCTGAAAACTCTCTCAAAAAGAGAACAAAATCGTTCTGATGACGGACTTTGACTCGTGCGTTTCAGAGTTTTGAGATGCTGCGATGTGATTGGTCCGCTCGGTTACTCGGTTTACAGGTGAAACTCCAAAAATGTGAATTTATTTATTTCAGTAATTCAACTTAAAAGATGAAACTAATACATTATATAGACTTGCAAAGTGAGATGTTTCAAGTGTTATAATTGTGATGATTATGGCTTACAGATTAATCAAAATTAGCATATTGTGAAAAGGCTTTCATATCTGTAAGCAATTATAACACTTAAAATATCTGAGTCTATATAATATATTAATTTCTCCTTCTAAGTTGAATTAGTGAAATAAATGCATGATATACACATTTTTGGAGTTTCACCCCTGATTTATTCAGGGTTTCCAATTGAGCGCGTATGTTTTTTTTCATGAATCTTGGATTTTGATTCAGCGTTGTCTGATGAGGTATCCCTAAATTAGCATAAAAATGGATGGAGACGAAGTTGACAAGTTTAGGCGAATGTTTTCCTCTTACCCGTTTTTCATTTTCTTTTTCCGCGGCGAGTCGTCGTCTGAAGATTTCCGTCCTCTTCCTTTCGGTCGCCGCTTTTCCTTCAGGCTTCCTCTGCCGCTCACCTCTACACAGGACAACAGTTCATATCTATCTGATCATGTACAGTGCGACGTGCGGTGTAGAGTATTTATTCGGCCGCGTTGGGTCTTACTCTTGGCCGTTCTGTTGTCTGGACTTTCGTAGCCGCTGACGTCCAACTTCTCCTTCAGCTCGTTCTCGAAGCGAGCGAGGTCAGCGTCCAGCCTTCGGATGTGTTTGTCCACCTAGTGAGAAGAAGGGGTATTTTTAATCATAATAATATAATAATAATACTCAAAAAAGAAACAAAACAACATGTGTTAAAAATTACACCTTATTATTGTTAACTAAAAATTATATTAGAAAACAGTTCTGTTAATTTATTAAATTTTAAATAATTATAGTACATTAAAAAAAGTACTATTTTTGACCACAAACATTTTGAGGTTCCCACACATTTAAATGGATGAATAAAATCAAATTTTGCATTTGTAAATTGAGAAATCTACTTAGATAATTGTATTTGTAATAAAAACAAACTTCACATTTTTTGGGCAAACTGAGAATAGAACTGAAATGCTCTGATATTGGCAGGTTTGCCGGCACTGACCATCTCGTACGTCTGCATGGCGAGCTGCACTTTGTCGTCGCTGTACTCTCTGCATTTGCTGAATCCGTTCTGAATCTTTTGCAGGTGCTCCATTCTCTGATCCGGGGCCAGGTTTCGGACGTTAGTGATGTATTCTTCTGCGAGCTTGTCGATTTCGCATTTCTTTTCTGCAAAAGACAAAAAAACATCCATTTTCATGCCACTTCTCCGGGATTGAGTCACGATAATGAACACCATATTACACTCAGAGATGCTCCCTAGGTAGACGGCACAGAATGATTTAAGATGTCATCTCACCCTCCGCTCTGCTGTCCAGTTCCCGCATCAGTGTGAAGTTTCTCTGGAGCTCACAGGGCAGGTTTTCAATGCCTAGGGTCATTATAAAAATCTCAATTTAAATAAAGAAGTACTGTTTACATACAAGAGGAGCGTTCTAGACCACCATCTAGACAGATACCTGAGCACAAATACATATACACACATACAACCTCACATAACATGCATTTGTTGACGTAGCATGTTGTTAGCATGCTTGCTAACTACTTTCAGTAATGCATTTACGACTTGCTTTGGTTTCACCATAGGTGTATATCAATCTCCTTAAACAACTAAATTAAAGAATCACGTAGATGTACGCAGTGTTGTACAGTAGAAAATTAGCGAATCAACCTGTTGGCTTACTAGCTGAAACTCGCTAATGCTAATCTGACATTAGCCATCAAAACATTCTCAAACTGGACCTCTTAAAACACCTTCACCAGCGTCAAAAAACGTTAAATCCGCCGTATTTGTTCGGAAATTAATTCTACTCACTATCGAGATAATGTTCGAGATAAATCGCTGTCGCCATGGTGACGATCTTCACTCGTTTCCAGTATGTTTTTCTCCTCCGCCAGCCCGCGTGAGGTGGAACAACATTGGCATGTCATGAATAATTAATGAGGCAGTTCTCTGCTACTGGCTGACAGGTGACGATTTTGAATGCCGGGGTTTGATTGGTTGGCGATGGGGCTTGGCTCATTAGTGCTCTTTCGACGTCACTCCATCTCCATTTCTTTTTTTTTTACTCCATCTAATTCTGGAAAAAACTGACTGGCAGATACTGTAGAGGGATAAAAATAAAAACATTGATATAATTAATTGTTATAATTGTATTGTTTTTTCAATAAAAAAAAAGTTATATTATTTTATCCTATACAATTATTAATCAAATATTGTATTTATTTATTTACATTTGAATGATTTGGAAGCAATATAATACCATCCAATATATAATAACAGAATGGCGATAAAAAGCTTTTAAATAAATATTATTCATATTATATTCATTCCAAGTAATATGGACTATTCATATTAATAATCAAACACAAATATATAACAGGACTTCGATAATTTAATGTAGCAGTGAAATATTACATTTAATATATTAATTTAATCTACATTGATACGAGTAATTCAATGGAAAATATAATTAACAAAATACAAATGTTAACGTTAATAAATAATTAGAATACATGATTATTAATGTAATACTTATTCCATATAATATGGACGTTTTATTCTATCATATAACTAGTGAAATACAATATCAAAAGTATACATAATATTTTATTAAACCATTTTTTTGTAGAATACATACGTCAATAATGTAATGCAGCGGTAAAATATTTTATTTAATATATCAATTTAAATCACATTAATATCAGTAATTAAAACATTTTAAATAAAAGTAATTAAAATAATCAACGTAACTTTTATTCATTATAATATGAAACTTTTAGTCTGTATATTCCACATCCAAATACGTAAATATATATGTACAAGTCAGATTATGCAAACACAAAATAATGATCATATGCCCACGTGACCATATGCTCTAACCCGGAAGCACTGTGTTCTCGTGTTTTGTTTTGGGACTTTGCTACTTCAAGACCACGTGCGTTTTATCTGTCACTTTGAATATAAATGTACTTCTCACTGTCTCCGGCGATCGTTACATGATATTAATAGGCTATACATATTAATAAGGCGTGTACATATTAACAAGTCCGACTTTTATAGTGAAATCTGTGCGCAACAAGAACTTTTCCTCCGCAGTCATGTGTTGAATTATTATTATTATATTTTTAGTCAAGTGTTGAATTATTATTTTTTATGTTTTTAGTCATGTGTTGAAGTCGATGGAGTCGTCAGAAGAGAAAACTGATGCTGACCTGCAGTCTCAGGTATAGCCAATCAGAGCTGCCAACTGTTGAGCTTGGAGTGCACTGTGGAGGTGTGTGTGTGTGTGTGGATTGAGGGATGCAAGTTTTTTTTTTATTACATCACAATAAATTGTGATTGTCAAAACATTTGTTTGCTAAACATACTTTTACTAGGTTTAGTGACAACATGTTACAATGCAGTGACGTGTTTCCATAACGGCTTGACACAAATTTCACAATTTCAATTCAATTCTTGTGATTCCGATCTTGATTATTATCATTTGGATACATAATATGTACAGTAGATAAATGTACATTTAGTTAGACAATTACTGTCAGCTGGTATTATGGTTTAACATTACAAATCAATTAAATATAATGCGGGTTTTATTATAATAACCTTATAATATTTGAATGAAATAGGTAAAAATATACAATAAATATGTAATACAGTGCACACATTTAGCAAAATAGCTACTCTCTATAGCAAATTAACGCTATGGCTTTCCTGAGGTAAATGTAAAAACACTGATTTTATCGATATGATGTATGAGCGATACATTTCGACAGTTGTCTGTCTTTCAACACATCTATTGTTCATTCGTGTCTATTTACTGGATGATCGGTTGATATATTAACTGATAACGTTGTCACGTGACGTCACATTTACGCGCCAAAACGCTATTTATTGTTTGAATTTCGAAATAAAATGAACAAAATCTGATATCTGAGAATTTATGTAATATCTAAAGTAAGCTCGCTGTCTTGTCTATCGGTGTCAGTGTGTTCTGAGTGAGCTGGCATTATCAAAATGATGTCTTATGATGACGTGATGAGCTGATGTTTATACGACACAGATAGAGGAGATCGAGGCTCTTTCCTCCATCTATGGTGAAGAATGGTGTGTGATTGATGAAGCTTCTAGAGTTTTCTGCATCAGAATATCAGATGACACCCAGAAGCCCACGTGGACGGTCTGTTTACAGGTATACGCAAAAATACATCGAACTTATGAATATGCAAAACGCGTTCATGAATATTCAATAGGGCTGTGCGGCGATTAATCGCATCCAAAATAAAAGTTTGTGTTCACATAATGTAGTATGTGTTATTTATATATAAAATATTTATATGTAATAAACAATATATACATGCATGAAAAAAAATATATATATTTATAAAATATATATATTATGTGAACACAAACTTTTATTATGGATGCGATTAATCGTTGCCCAGCACAAATATTAAATGCATGTTAATGTTTGTTTGAAGATCATACTTCCTCCAGATTACCCGAGCTCAGCGCCTCCAATATACCAAATCAAGTATGTATATTCCTTTCAGTGCAGATAATAGAGAAATGTGAAGTGAATGTCCAGTGATCGGTGTGTATTTTTTCGGACAGCGCGGCTTGGCTCCGGGGACCCGACAGAAGGGCCCTGTCCAACAGTTTGGAGGAGCTGTATGTGTGAGTGTGTGTCCTTTCATCAGATCAGTGTATCTGTGTGGTTATGAAATATGAAATGTGATTGTCTTGTTTAGGGAGAATACTGGGGAGAATATTCTGTACCTCTGGGTGGAGAAAATAAGGGAATTCCTCGCAGAGAAATCACAAAGTGCAGGTAAGATTGGAGAATCTGTTGCCTATGATCATGTGCTTTTACACTAGGGGGCAGTAAATGGACACACTATTGGTCTCATCTAAAATGTTTTATGAGGATGTTCAGTCTTTATTATGCAAAATGTATGCATATCTAAAGTCTATGTCTATAAATCAGGCCGGGAATATACACTAGTCCAAAGTTTTAGAATGGTAAGATTTTAATGTTTTTAAAAGAAGTCTCTTCTGCTCACTAAGGCTGTATTGATTTGATTAAAATTTTGAGAAAATCAGTAATATTGTGAAATATTATTACAATTTAAAATGGCTGTTCTCTATGTGAATATACAGTAAAGTGTAATTTATTCCTGTGATCAAAGCTGAATTTATCATCATTACTCCAGTCTTCAGTGTCACATGACCCTTCACAAATCACTCAATAATATGATGATCTGATGATCAAGAAACATTTATGATTATTATCAATGTTGAAAATAGTTTTTCATATTTTTATTTCAGGATTCTTTAATGAATAGGAAGTTCAAACTGGAGCAATGGTGCAGCAACACAGGAATAAATAATATAATGTATAAATCATTCATCTTTATATGCAAAATATTAATTCATTTGTTTTTATTTTCCCCATATTTAATTATTATAATTTTATTATTTAATAGTAATGATTATTGTTAAGTTTAAGGACAATTTTTTATTTATTTTGGCATTGTTTTCATAATAAATAATATGCTTAAAATGGTTCTGATGGTCCTTGAAATTAGAAATTATCATATATATATATATATATATATATATATTGTATTTTTAATCAAATAAATGCAGCCTTGGTGACTTCTTTTAAAGACATTGTGAAAACCTTGAAAAGCCGGTCCAAAGCTTTTAACTGGTTGTGTATTTGAAGGATTACTGTTAGTCATGATTCGTTAATCTTCCTCTATGCGTCAATGTATTTTATCATTGGTTCTTGCATGTCTCGTAGACCAAGTGCTGATTTAAACGAATAGGTTGTAAGTAAGCAATTTGGTGCGAGTGCATTGGCTAGAAAGCTCATTTTTCCAGACAGCAAATCCCGTCCGTCCATTAAAGGTTGTATCTGCGATTTCAGGCCCAAACGTAAAATTCGCGACACGCCGTGGAAAGATTCGTGGACGGCCGTTCTGACGTTGGTCTTCTTTAAAAATGTATTTAAAGGGGCCGCAAAGCAAACATGTCGAGTGTTATTTTTGCAGACTGACCAAGTAGAATATAAGTTAAACTCAGTAAATCTTTTAAACGTAAAAGTAATGCTAATGCTAATCGAATTAGCGGTTTCTAGTGCGAAAACCTTGCCTATAAAAAGTGTTGCGCGCCTTCTTGTCAAATTGGGAACTCTTAATCGCTTGGGTTTTAACAAAAAGTTTACAGGACTTCTGCATTCCCATTGGTTGCCGCTGAACCGCGTCATCGCTCATTACCATAAAGTTGACCTGACTTCAGCTTCTCCGCGCCGCCAGAGCTCAATAAAGTCACAGAAATGAGCTTTTGGATGTTGCCTCAGCACCCGATGCTACTTCTCTGGACTAATTGCCCTTTTTGTTAAAGCCCCACTTGTTTTGTGAAACACGAAGAAACATTTTGTCCCGGAAACATGAGAGAGTCCTTTATTCCCTCCGGCTTTTAAGGAACACGGCGTTCCTCCGGCAGACGGAAATTACACATGACCGCGTTTTTGTACCCAGTAAAAAGAGGATTCCAGCAAACGTTCAGGTCTGTAGTTTCATCCGCCCTTTGATAAGAATAGCAGGCACGCTGCGTTCTCTGCGGAAAGAGGCACAATTGAAGCAGGTGCACGAGGGCCTGCCGGCAATCAGGTACACGGCCTGTCATTAACCTACACGCAATACACCCTTCAGATTCCTCTTTTGATTGTTCAAAGCTGGAAGAAGCATCTGAATAACCTGGAAGATGTAAAAACAATTGGATAATCACGCAGTAAATGCTGGCGGAGTCAAAGAGATTGTAATGCGTGAAAAAAAAGATTCACACGTTTACAATTATTCGCTTTTATCGAGAGCGGCTTCCGAATTGGAACATCCCAAGCCATTTATCGTATATATATATATCA